CCTGAAAACTCACACCTCCTAGCAACCCAGCACTCTCTTTCACTCGCTGTCTCACGCACACACACACACACACACACACACACACAAGAGGAACATTCTCCCCGCCGGGTGTTCTAAGGGGGGTTGGGGTGTGATTTGGTTGGGAATGTGGCGCAACAAAGAGGCGCCTCTTGCTATTCTGATGTACATCCCATCCTCTCAATTTATCAGATGGTCTCTTTGAATTAGCAGGGGCAAATCAAACACAGCTAGTGAATCTGTAGCTGTTTCATTCATTTGTCCATCCGCCTGGCCACACTTAGTCTCATTACCAGCACCGACTGCTCCTGGACAAAAAAGCATGTGTTTGTTGACATACAAATGTGTGTGTTTGTGTTTATTCCACTTCTCGGGGGACAAAGGAAGCAGATGCTAAAAAAAAAAAAACATCTCTTAGTTAAGTGCAAGTGAAACACAGTGATGTCCCTTATCTAAATGCAGGAAGATGAAAGCAAATTGCTGGAGTTGAGAGTACAGATTAAAATGTGCTCTGAAAGTGCAACACGTGTAAGCAGAAAATACAGATACAAACACAAAAACACACAGAGGCGCACACTACACATAACACATGCTGAGAGTGTGATCTGGTCCATTTCTCTACCTTTTGGCTTTCTCTGCAGCATGTCCTTAGAAATATAAGGATGGTGATTAGACTGAAAATCACCCATCTGTACTCCTTCCTGTCATCTTTTCTTAAAAGCCCGGAGGTGAAACCAGCAATTACATTTACAAGCTACAGTCATGGAAAAGGTGCTTAGAGGGTTTCTTTGTGGGCTTTAGCAAGTACACACGCACTCTTGCTCTCGTGCATTAACAAATCACAGTGTCCGGGTAATGCTTCATTTGAAAATGGAATTAAATGAAAGGGAACAAACTGAAATTTCACCAAGTTGGATTGAAAAAAGTTTTGATGCATTTGCAATTGTTAGGTATTTTTAGTCAGATAGATATTGGATAGATACTTTATGTATTAGAAATGTT